CACGGCCAAGCAGCGCTGCCCCGGCTGCTCCCTGTGTGTCCCCGGGGCCGGGATGCGGCCGCTGCCATCTCCTCACCGCGGCACAAAACGCAACAGCGTCGGGGCTCCCTGCCTGCCACCAAGCCCTGGGAAGCGACATGCTGTTGCCACCGGCGCCAGCACGGCCCCCCACCCTGCCACGTCTGCAGAACCCAGGCGGGAAGAGCTGCTACGGGCACCATCCCCGTTACTCACTGTGCTGCCACTTCTCCAGGTGCCCCGGCTGCTGCCACCAGCCCCATCGCCTCGGTGCCACCTGGGGCCCACCTGCCCCCAGGAAGGTGGTCGGGACCGAGACCCCCACAGAGGTGGCTGGTTGCCTGCTTGTCCCCTGGCCCTGCTAGAGCCTTGCCGTTCCTGCAGCCAGGCATCATAGTGCTGGACACGGGTGGCCACTAGCCCTGGCCATGCAGCCAGTTTGACACCCTCAGGGCCTGCTGGCACAGGAGCAAGCACCGTGTCCCCCTGGCCGGACCCTGCAGAGCTGCTCCCTGCGGGGCTGGCACTCTGCTCCCGTGGGAGCAACGCCCAACCCGGTCCCACGCCTTATCTGGGGCCAGGGTCCACGGGGCAGGACAGAGCTGCTGTGCTCAGCAGCTGCCAGGCGCCACAGCGAGAGGAGGGCCAGCAGCCAGGGCGAGTCCCAGGGCTGGGGTGGCACCGAGTGGCAGTCACCACGGGGGCCCCCAGGGCTCCTGTTTGCCTTTGCTTTGCTGCCAGCCTGTACCTGGCACAGCCAAGGGGCTGGTGCCGCTGCTGTAGCTGCTACGCTACCATGGTGTAGCCAGCACAGCACAACACAGCACAGCCAGTGTGGCACAGTCAGGAGAAAAAGTGGGACTTGGAGACTCCAGGGGGATATTCAGCCCACAAAGCCATGGAGAAGACACCATGTTGCTGCCCCGTGACCCATCTTCACCAGAAAGAATGGCTATGGGGGGGATCATACATGCTGTCATCCTGTCCCAAATTCCTCCCTCCCCAGAGCCAGCACTGTCACTCACCAGGCTCTCAGTGCCCTCCCGGCGTCCTGGCAGTGGCTCCAGCACTGGCCCAAGGAATGCAGCACTGCTGGCAGGGTGCAGGATGGGCAGGCTGGCTGACCTGGCATCTCGCACTGCCTGCTCCACCTTCAGCTCATCCCCAGGCTTGGCTGTGAGAGCATCAGGTTGTCAGTGTCCTCTGGGAACTCTGGAGCAGCCAAGCCTCCCCCCGGGCCCCCGCAGCACCTTTCACCCGCAGGTAGTGTCCCCCGAAGCGATACGCCTCGAACTGCAGGGACAGCGGCGTGTGGGACTGGTCCAGGTAGATGTCCACTTTGCCCAGCTCGATCGCCTTCCTCTCAAAGACTGGCAGCAGCACTTCCCTGCAGGACACAAGCCCCACATTTGTATCTGCATCTGTCCCCACATTGTCCCTTGTCCTGTCCCCAGCAGACTCACCCCAGTGACTTCTTCTTCACCGCTGGCACAATCTCGGCCTCGATGTCGATGCTAAGGTCAAACTTCAAGGTGAAGCACTCCTTGCTGGGGTCCTGGGGGCAGGTGGCAGCTGTTTGCCCAGGGGTCCCTCCCTCCCTCCCACCAGGGCCATCCTGCTGCCCTGCTGAGTGCCCCAGGGAGAGGAGTCAGTGCCTTACGTCCGTGTGCCTGCGCCAAGCCTTCTTCTTGGGCAGCTTCAGCGCTGAGCTTCTGCGCTCCCTGCGGGCACAGGGAAGGCAGGGTGACAGGGATGCCGAGGGCTGGGGCTGCACACAAGCTGTGCAGGGCTAGGGGCTCACCCTCTGCTCTCTGCCGGACCCTCCTCTTCCTCCTCCACATCAGAGGCAGGGCTGGTGCGCGGGGGGCACGAACGTGTTGACATGTTGCGGGCCAGGATGGAGCCTGCAAATGGGTATTGAGCTGGGCTGTGACAGCTCCCCCAGCCCCCTGTTGGCTCCCACTCCCATCCCCGAGTTGCACCGGCCCCAAGCGCACTCCATCACTCCCGGCCCCGCGCCTCACCGCTGCCGCAGAGCCGCGGGAGCAGCGGTGCCACAGCTCGGTCCAGCTCACCTTGTGGGGACAGGTCACAGCGGATGTGGCCATCGAAGTGCATGGCGCCATGGGGGCGGCCGTGGCAGAGCTCACACGGGCTGAGGGGGCCGCTGCACTCTGCGTGGTGACATTCCTGCGGGGACACGGGTCCATCAGGCAGGGCCAGCCCGGGGCTGCCAGCTATGGCATGTTGACAGGAGGGATGGCCAGCACCACGAGCAGCAGGGGTGACCGCTCGTCCACCCCAACTGCAGCTGGCACGTTGTTCACAGGGAATGCTGAAGCCAGAGTGGGCACAGGGAAAGCAGCATGACCAGGACACGGCCATGTAGCAGTGCTGTAAGGGCACGGTGACGATGAGCTTCTGCACCACAGCTCCCCTCCCTGCTCCACCGCAATGAACGGAGACCCTGGGACACCTGCACATGCCGAGGCTTGGACACGGAGCTGCGGGACAGCCACCTGCACCGTGGTACCAGCACCTCAGCAGCGGCCCAGGAGGCCGCCCTGGCACCCCACAGCCCCTTTGTGCTGACGAGAGCCGTGTCCCCGTGGCAGGACGGAGGAAGCGAGCGTCTGCAGCCAAACAATGCTCCAAGCCGGCGGGTTTCCTCCGATTGTGTGCGGCCACGGCCGCGGCCCCAGCCCCTCCAGGCATTCACAGCGGGTTATTTTTAAACCCCGGGCCAGGCCCCCAGCACAGTGCACAGCCTGTGTTCCCTGGCCGCTGCCCGTCTCACTGGGGCTCCTACTGGCTCCGCTCCTGGGGACTGTGGTGCCGCCGGTCACCGCTGCACGGCTGACACATCCCCGTGCCCGTGTGGGACCCCCACCGCCCCTCTGCACGGGGAGGGCTGCGAGGGTGCTGGGAGGAGACAGCCCTGCCCGGGCTTGCCTGCAGTACACTGCTGCTCCGGGGAGGAAGCGCCTGTGCAGCTCCAGCCGCCCCCACTTCCTGCCCTCCTTCCTCCCGGCGCTGCTGAGGTCAGAGCTGACGCGCTCCCACCACCCGCGCTCTCTCCCGGGGGCCGCTGGCCCCTCTGCAGCACCCCCTGCCATCCACGAGTGTCCTGTCCCAGGCCTCGAGACAGCCCCGGGACACCCTGGACCCCTCAGCCCTCCTGCTTTCCCACCGTGTGTCCCATCATTAGCGTTGCTGCCATGGTGGCCATCGTGACACCTGCATGTGGGAGCATGGCCGCGGGCTCCAGGCAGTGCCCGCAGCTGGCACTCACTCAACGAGATCCCCTGGGACCCTTGGCAGCCGCCCCAGAAGGATGCGGGGCTCCTCGTGTACCCTGTGCCAGCAGCTCATCCCTGGGCTCATCCCCCCAGGAGGGGCCAGGCGGGATGACCAAACACAGCTCTGCCCACCCCAGGGATCAGCTCCTGATCCCAGCCCCTCGGAACTCCCAGCACAAGGCAGCTCCGCCGCCCCTCAGCGGGTGCCTCTCAAAGCGAGGGGGATCGCGATTGTGCACCGTGACACGGCAGGATGAGCCCCCAGCCTGGCCAGCCCCCCCCGCGCTACCTGCCAGGCACCATCAGGGCTCTGGTGACAGCGGCCGGGTGCCCTTCATCGCTCTCGGCAGTCCCAGCTGCGCTCCTGGGCAGCTCCAG